AGCATTACTCGTGTCTGGTGGTAACTTCGGGTGAAGAGCAATTACTCTACACCGCCCCCAATGTCTTGGCCACGGTTTTTGTATGCCTGCCCATCGTCTACCTTTCCTTGATCTTGGTGCACGTGCTGAGCATAGCTGGAAGAAGCGTGGCTGCGGTCGGATCAGGACATGACGCAGAGTTATGAAGAAGATGGCTTCAGCTTTGACCTCGGTTAGTGCAGTCGGTCTTCGAGGTTGGGGTTGGAGGGATGAGGATTGTCGTTGGTTAGAGACACTAAGAGACATCGCTCAGAATAGAAGTCACTGGTGCGGATGGTGTATGGGTTTGCCTGTTGAAATCTCATGCACCATAGCAACCGACAAACTAACAAGAAATATCAAACACTTATGGTTAAACAATAAAAAATTGTTATTCTTGTTATCTACCGTAACTGCTTGACCACCATTTTATTCTGTTTTGCATCCCAACCACATTGTTTTCTGTTATTCTAGTTGTTGCGTTGGCAATAACCTATCTATAAGTCGGTGATATACACACGCACAAATATATATATATATATATATATANATAAATTAACCTTCACATATTTATTCCATCTAGTTACCCTATTATTGCTAAATTATTATGTTAAATTTCGGAAAATGCGTCATTCGCCATTTTGTTTATTCGAATGCTCAAAATATGTCTGACTAAGAATAGAGCATATCACATGACCACAAAATTTAGAAGGGTTCGTACACTTTGGTAATGAATGGATTAAATTCTTTCCCCGAAGTTGTATCAGAGAAAATAAATTCCGATAAACGAAGCAAGCTCTCTTTCGATAAATTCAGGATAAAGCGTACGGATTTAGATGACAAGTGTAAAAAAGAGAATAAAGAAACACCACCCTTGATGGTTAGCATACGGAGAAACGAGGGCAGCGAGAAGCGCGATATGGCAACACCCACTAGAAAGTAATCACCAAGTGTACGTAAGTCGACCGACCGATGTGAGCATGGTAAATGGAAGAATGTTGTAACCAAAGGGCAGCTCAATCAAAATGTTGACACACGTAGCATCACTTTGTACACAGGGTAATAAGATCCACCGCGCACAAGATCAAACAATATTGAATGCTCTACCTATGTATATTTAAATGACCGGTTGATGAATTTTTCGAAAAAACAGTTGTTTTGCGCGCATAGGATTTTATTCTATTCAAACTATTTTTCATTTCCTCTTTCAAATCCCCTCTTAATAATTGAAGTTAAATCGAGTCAACGAATTCGTAGGCACATTTCATACTCACGAGTTTTCAAACAAACGGAAATCGGGATCTTTGAGTGTCTGTTCGTCAAACATGAGATTAAACTCGCAGTTCATGCATCACATACAACAGTTTTAAAACCAATAATGCAAGCTTACGTTAAAGAACAACCAAAGAGCTGGGCGATCTTTGGTTCAATAAAAGTCATTGAATTTTTTCATGTTGATTTTAAATATTGGAAATGGTGAAGTGTTACAATGGTTCTCTTCTTATTCTTTCATCAATGGTCGTAACAAGCTATCAACTATCAGCCGTAGATAGGCTGCAAAATTTACCGTTTGTTATAACTGCAAGTAGTGGGAGCTACATTGATTTTGTAACATTTAAGTAGATCGATATCTAGCGCCAGTGCGTTTTCATTGTGATCAATATGGCACTGAATATAAAGACTTTAGTACATTAATTATGAATAATGAACATATTTTTCTTGTGAAATATGCTTAGAACTTTTCTTTCCTCATTTAATCGTGAGGACAGTTATCATTACGATAACCGTGCCCCTGTGAATAACGAGTTTAATACATTCCCATAGGGCCTTGAACTCCCGGCAATAGTCGCTAATTTGAAGTGCAGTATCTTCAACAATTTTCCACCCCGGATCAAGTGTTTCATAATGAATATGTCTTTATCAATTCCATTAAACAATTGCAATGTTCGAACCATAGCGAATGGATTTGAGGTTTATGAAGAAGGAAAACAGTCAGAACTAGCCTAATGTGCAAAACAATTAGGTTTTTGTATTCTCCAAATAAGCGCAAGATATGTCAAATGACCGTAAAACATTTTTATGGTGACACAAAAATTCTATACTTAGATCACAAATTAAAACGGAAATTCCTTTAAACAGTCTACAAAAACTTGTTTGATTATTGTTTTCCGCCGAGCGATAATACGGTGGAAAGAAACAATTTATAAAGTAGTGAAAGGACAATTTCTATTGTATGTGGAACGTTTCAAGCCAACCTACTTGCCCTTCACACGTTTCACTCAGGGAAGCAAATCATGTACAGTGTAAATAAAGTATGGTTCATGTGATAGAGAAAGATTACCGTGATTAGTTTTGTGTTCTTTATGAAACAGGAGAAAGTTCAAACTGTGAAAGATTGAAACCGGGTTGAGACTAAATCCGCCACAAGACTTTTTTGACACCTGTACTTATTGATTCTACACACACCTGTCAATCGGAACTTGACTTCCAGTAAACTATTAGCAGCAAAACCTAGTTCAATGAATACAAACTTATGATTTTTTGCAATGCGAGCAATCCTACCATAATGATGAATAGCTTAAACAACGTTCAACTACTGTTGCATAATTACCGTTTTCAAATACAAAATTGCATTGCGAAAGTACAAAACACCACGTATTTCCACTCATTTTCGCCAAGCCTTCTTATCCCAGACAGCTTTATTCGCACACTGCTCACATGCAGCCCTCAATCAATAGTCTGATTCTCTCCTTCCTGCGCAATCATCCTATTCCGGTTCCATTTTCTAACGACCAAATATATTAGCTTCTGCGGTCCTCAATAGTATTCTCAGTTGTAGATATTGATGATCTTCCTCCGGCTGTTATAATTTATTTGTTATGTAACTTCCCTTATTGATCGGAATATCCTGAAAGGTTTGTTTTTGAGACAGTGCAAAAAATAGACAAAACCGAAATAAATGGAAGCCAGTAAACCTTCATTCCCTATTCCAGGGAGATACAAATTCACAAATTATCTAATGTAGACTGTCAAGTGCAGTCAGTGGAACAATCCACGCTGTGCAGCTAAAACTGTATTCCCATGCACATCAGTTTTTGTCTTCGGCTGAATATCAGTAAGCCAGACCCTGCACTTTCCGTCTGAGTGCACTCATTCGCCCGTCCCTGTGGAAATAAGCACACTGGTTGGCGGTGGCGCAGTGGTTTAGTCGTCATCACATGCGTGCTTTGGACCCTATGGTCCAAGGATCGATCCCCCCCTCCTACCGCCACCAAACTTTGGTGGTAGGCAGCTTTGTTGTCTTCTAGTTCATTACCACACCTAACCTGCCGTGGCCTCATGTGGTTCGCCATTCCAAGTCCAGGGATTAGGTTACCGGTCTCCATCACTGAACAGCAGGTCCTCGTGACAATGGGGCTATCCCCGTCTGCTATTCATTCCACGAAATTGTGTCATAAAAAGACTGGTCGCATGAGTAGGGTCTTTTTCGATTTAGTCTGACACCCAAACACGGACACGCATGCGCACACACATTTCCTTAATATACCAATCCCAAGCGAAACAATTTTTATCCGTGGGCTTTGGATTTTTACAACCGATTTATTTGGCCTTACAGAGACTTTTGAGGAAGGAAGCTGCCGCGGAATCTTGCGTTTTGCTATTGTATTGTGGATAAACAAAACAGTATTTCAATAAAACCATGAACACAAGGCCCTAATTTATTGATGAAATCCCAAACACATTTGGAATTTTAACTATTTATCATCCCTGAATTTCCTTTATGCCTAGATCAACACTATTATTTTCGGCACATCATTTTTAAGTAAGCGGTTGGCACATAAAAAGTACCGCAATTTTTGATTTGGATCCGTGAGTTTCAAACTTATGTCTCAAGGGACAAAAGGATTCTCACTTAGGTCGAAAAATGACAAAACTCAGGTATATTTGATCGTAATTCAATGACCATATAGATCAATCTTACGGATCAACGTTGCATTAACTGTGATGACAGAAGTTAAAAGCAATCTTTTCCCGAGGTGCACAGCCAAAACCATGCGTTTTGCTAAAGTTTGAATGAAGATCCATGTTATTTTATCCCGTCTGGCATAACATGCAACAGTAAGATAGCTTACAATCCAGTAACATGCCCGGATTTCTAATCTAGTTATTGCTTATTGATAATCACGACGAAATCAGACTGCTATCCGCATTCTTAAGCTTGCACTCATTGCCTGACAAATATAAACGACGAATTTTAGCAAAAATGGTGAATCTTTGTCGAGGTAGGACAGCATGTGGAAGTTTTCTGTATGGAACGTTTTGTTGCTGCGTTGGAACAAGCTCTTTTGATATTCTCCCAGACTGGGTACCGGTTTTATCATTAAGTTTCATCTTCAATTGGTCCAGACAAGTTGTCTTTCGTAAATTGTTTAGAAGTTTGTCCTCGCACTCGAATCCCTCAGTTTGTGGCTAAGGTCCAGTGATTCATCAGTCGTGAACCGCATTACAATGGATTCAGACGGTTGGACGCATATCTAATTTCGATATCGTTTCAAATATCTCAACAAGAAACCGGCTCTCAGTATTCAGTCATTTTATTATTCCTGAAATTCATTTCTACTTTTGATAGCGATACACATTGTGATCTCTCGGCACGATTGTAGATTTCGGCAATCTGGCTTGGTTGTTCTTCTTTCTTCTTCAATGCACGATTTTGATGTATAATCCAATCGTGTTACTAAATCCCGGTACATTTATCAAAACATAAATAAGAACATTACAATGTTTTGCAACATAATGTTTGATATGGTAAAAAATCAGTTTTGTGAGCATAAAAGCGATCAGAAAAGTAGTTAGGGTAGGATATCTTCAATTCACGATAAATTATCTTAATACATTAGACTGAAACAAAGCTTGAATATAGTCACCTTGTATGAAACACAATTTTGAATTCATGAAAAAATTTGACAATTCATTCAGAATTAATGGAACACAGGTGGATCGGCAAAACCGTAAGTGTTTACTTCTGTTGTCTCTAAAATAGTGGGTAGACGTAAAGAGTGAATGACGAGTGGCCCTCTGTGTGTCCGATAGACGAGAGACTCTTCAACAACAACCATGGTTTGCTTCCATGTGGAATCGTCTATGATAAAGTACCTGGAATCGGCCAACAAGTGTTGCACAAAGGCATATTTCTTTCCCAAGGACCAACACGGAGCTCGGCCAGATGGACCACTGCCTTCAATGATATGAGAGTAGCCGAACACTGCACAGCCACCGGAATTTCCATAAACATGTCGTAAGTAAGCCAAAGTGTTAAAGGGTGCGGGATACCAGTTTTTACCCAGTGGTCTGAAAACAAGGGGAAATACTATGGTACTGTCAATGAGTTGATTGGGTGCCTTTTGGGATGAGATATCCCACAGATGAGTTTCATTGTGCTCAAAGTAGCCTATATCCAAATATGGCCAACCCCAAACATACTGTGAAGATTTACGGCTAAGCTCGATATCCATATCGTCATCACTTTCGTTCAGCAGTTTTGTGTAAAACTTATCGCGTACTCCTTGCACTGTCACTTGATAATTCGGTGATAACACCTGAAGTATTCGTTGGACTGTCGGACGTACTGTTACATCAACCAAAACATCAACATCATCATCCCAAGGAATAATATCGTGATGCTGAAATGATCCCACCAAAGTTCCTCCGTTCAAAAAAAAACGATCTCCCAAATCATTTTGAAACATCAGCTCAGAAAATTTTGCTAATAAATGCTTTGAAAGAGTGAACTGAGCTTTACTCATCACAGGGTTCAGTGCCGGTGGTAAGGGTTTGATGGTCCCATTGGCAAATCGCCGACCAGCTGGAAACGGCGCTGCCTTAAGTTCTGGCCAGGAGAGTTCATCCAAATTCGGTAGGCAGTCCCAATCATTTTCATTAAATTGAGCTTTGACAAGGAACGGTTGCACTGGTATAATTATAGGTGCAACTGAGATTGTCTTCCAAGCAGTGAATATGAGCAGAACAAGGAAAATTCCAATAGTTGTTCGGATAAGTAATCGAAATTTAGGAATGATCAGGACATTGTGAGATTTCATTGTACTGCTGAAGAGAAAAACAGTAATTGAATAATTAAACATTGCAAAATCCACAATCATAATACAGCGAAACAAACAGTAAAGCCAGGTTGTTTCTGGTGAATTTCAGTTGTTCACATAAATAGTGCAATAAACAGTAGAAACAACAGGTCCATAACTGTAGACGACACCAGTGTGAAATATTCTCTTCGCCAAAGCTCTCACAATAGACGCACTGAACGTTTATATCGGACTGCTATGAATTTTGCAATTTACC